TCTCAAATCCAAGAGGGAATGCTGTCCCATGAGGACGGATGAGGGTGAATGTCCGGCAGGGAAGTTTCTCGGCCGGAGTTGGATCAGCCAAGAAAGTCTTCTCGTAGATCCGGGCGCTGATTGCCAGAATCTCTTGCTTGTTGGCCTTGGGGTTGAAGGCAGTGCGCAACGCGATACTCATCAAGGTCAGGGGAGGGGTATCGAGGTTGTCAGAGTCGCTAAGCGTGGAGACCATGTTGGGGTGCTCGACGAGCACTTCAAGCTTGCAGTGAGAGGCATTCTTGAGGGAACCAAAGTCGGCATCGGTGATCTTCAGCCAGCAGGGACCCATGATGTTCTTCCACAGTACAAACTGCTCGAATAGCGCCGTGTTCGTGCCAAAGATACGCGAGAACGTATTTCCAGTGGCCGTGCTGTCAATAACAGGTTTCGTGTATGGATAGAGACACTTCAAGTACTGAGCCTCCTTTGGAATGTCCGGAAGCTCGAATGCGTACTTCCTTGTGCATGGCTTGGTCTTGTACGTGCCGACGTTCATCTTGGCCATAAGCGAGTCAACCTCAGAGTAGACGTCCACCATCCCGACTTCCTCGCTGGTCTCTTCTCCGCCCTCGAGCTTCGTCTCGCGGGGAAGGAAAAAGAGCTTGCGGAGAATGTTGTCGACCTTGACGAAGCAACTGACATACAAGCCGGTCTTCTTATTCAAGACTTTGCCAAAAAGGCAGAGACTGCCGTTGACCTCGGTGTAGTCAGTCCAGAACATGTTGAGACTGCCGTCCTCCTCGATAGCGTCCTTATAGTCCATCTTGCCGACGGTTCTAGCCTCCGCAGGAGAGCTTGAGACAACGTTCAGCTGGTCTGTAATGTTGTTCCATGCTGACGAGTCGACTGATGGTGCAGCAGGCTTGACCGGGGAGGAGCTCAAAGGTGTAGGGTAGGGGTCGGGCTTGACCAACTTCTTCGGTGGTCTTGACCCTGTGATGTTTACGCTAGCAGCAGTGACCGCACCAGCGTGGGCAACCTCCATCATATCATCGTCTTCCTCGTCCATGGGCTCTGGCTTGACCAGTGCCTTGCGCTGGGCTACTTTAGCGGCAGGTGATGATGGCGCGGGGTCTTCGGACATGGAAATATCGTTCACAGTGATCGGAGCGGGACTATCGTCTCTGTCGTCGCCCATGGGGGGCAAGTAGCCATCATCGACTGCTGAGTTGTCAAATGTGGGAGATGATTGTCTGTCGTCCACAGTCTTTGTTCTCTTGGTAAAGCGCGTCCTAGTCTCGGGGGCAGGAGAAAGCACACGGGCTCGGCGACGTTCGGGGGATCTGTTACGCTTGACTGATCGGGACGCAGGAGCGGGGATATTGGCGTCGACCTCGCCCAGGAGATCAGCAAGGAAAGCATCGTCTTCTTTCGTTTTGGCGACCTATGGCTTTTGTTAGAACAGTCTCCCTCTGGCTTTGGAGACATCTGACGAACCTTTGGCTTGGCTTGTGTCTTGGTTGTACCCTTTGTAAAGTATTCGCTGATGTCTCTATCATTGGCATCTCGCTTGGCCTCTTCCTCTTCGCGCTGCTTTTTTGCTATTGACAGTCAGCACGACAGAGATCTCGTAAGCACGTGCATTGGAGACTCTGCTCACAGGCTTTGCTTGGTCTACCACGGCCCTTCACTGGTATATCCTCATCGCTCTCCGAGTAGTATTGGGGCTGGCGATCCCACTCCTCCCGGCCATCGTCCGCATATCCCTCGCCATTGTCGTCGACAACGAAATCGTCTTGATCCAGACGATCTCGGATGATCTTCTTGTACTGGTTTTCGTCAACCTCTTCGTAAAGCTCGTCGACCTCCTCGACTTCGTAGTTGGCCCTCTTGCCGGATGCTCGCAGAGCCCGAAGCTCGGCCAGCTTTGAGCGTCTGTCGACCTTGGGCATAGTGGGCAGGGCTGGTCTGTCGAGTATGAGAGGGAAAGTTCAATTTCTCGAATTAACACTCAATTCATCGTATAGAGCAAGAAGTTATTCGGCACCGGCGATAGGTACTGAAGGATTTGGCGTGTCAAGCTGTGTTTGTATCGAGGAACGGAGTAGGCCTGTTGTGGGTGGGATAACACAAAGCACGGGATTCATGTGCACTATAATTTGGCCCGTTCAGCCAGGGGCGGCGCGCAATGAAAGTCGCGTTCGTGTTTGGCGACGCGTTTTTTGCTTAATTGCCGTCGGGCCAATTGGTCGAGTCTGCACTAAACACAGCAAAGGTGGGGCATATCTAAAGAGGCTCGCCCTGCAACTAACGTCAATGTTCTGCGCGACACGCTAAGCCATGCAGGACGCCCCCGACGACGCAGGCACGCAGGCACAGGGAAGCTCTCCGATAAGATAAGAGAGCTTGGGCACCTCAGTTGGTCGCAAAATTTCCCGGTACCTTAGCGCTTTCATGATTGAAGATGCATCTGATGATACCTGAATACCGTACGGAATACCTTATTTGCGGATAGCTCTAACCTCACATTGTGCTCCACCGCAAAACATACTCGAGTATGCTATCCTGCAAAGCGTGCCTTACACGGGCGCTTCAGCCGTTGTCAGGAAAGGCCTCCTTCTCCGAAATATCGTCTACTCTACCCGTCCTTCAACATGGCCCGCCGGGCAGCCAACGCCGATTTGCCCATAGAAAGACAACACCCACGACGGCCGCGGGCCGGGCTTTCTTGAAGGAAGGCCAGGAAATAGAAAAGGATACCCATGGCGGCAGCGAGGAATTTGCAGAAAAGAGAAGGAAACAGAAGCTGGACTGGGCTGTGTCGAAACACCTCGAGCACTTGGAAAACCCCTTCAACATCGCCAAGCACGTCGAGGCGACACTCGAGAAGGGTCGCTTCGATGAGGCCCTTCTCCTTGTCCAGCGCGCCAGCGGCAATGACACCGACCTAGTCGTGTCCTGGAACCACCTCATCAAATACCAGATCATGGAGCTGAAGCGTGTCAACTATGCCATCACCCTCTTCAACGACATGAAGAAGCGCGGCCAGTCACCCAACGAACAGACGTTTACCATCATCTTCACCGGCTGCGCAAAGTCCCGCGAACCAAAGGCTGCCAGCGCCAAGGCCCTGGCTCTGTACAAAACCATGCTCAAGGAGGACGCAAAGATCAAGCCCAACTCGATACATGTCAACGCCGTAATCCAGTGCTGCGGCCGCGCAGGCGACGTCGAAAACATGTTCACGTTGGCCGATTCGACCGACGCCAAGTCCGGTCGCAAGAATACCGCTTACACGTACACGGCTATCATCAACACGCTACGCGCAGAGGCTGAGAACCAGGACAACCGCAAAGGGCAGTCTCTCCAACAGCATATCGATATGGTGGAACAGACGATCACACGATGCAAGCATATCTGGGAGGAGGTCATGCGCAATTGGCGCAACGGCAAGCTGGACATTGACGAGGACCTGGTGTGCGCCATGGGTCGTATTCTGCTCCTCGGAGGCAATAAGGACAGAGGCAAGATTATGACCATGCTCGAAGAGACCATGAGTGTCCGAAACTACAACCGCACGCCCACGGGCGACTACGCACACCGCATCAACGACGAGATGAAGGGTATCAGCACGACCGGCAGCACCAAACGCAAAGCCACGGTCCTCTCACCAAAGATCAAATACGCCGTACCGCGCTCCAACACCCTTTCCCTCGTCCTCGCCATCGTCCGCGAGCAGAAGCAGACCAAGCTGGGCGTGAAATACTGGAACCTCTTTGTCCACTACTACGGCGTCAACCCCGACACGGATAACTACCACCAAATGATCCGTCTCTACGAGCGCAGCGGCTCGAGCAAAGACGCCGCAAAGGCCGTACAGCAGATGCCCTCCGACAAACCCGTCCCTCCCATCGTCTACCGCCGCGCCCTCTCCGCCTGCATCAACAATAACATGAGCCAAAATGCATTCGCCGACGCCACATCCATCCTGAACACGATGCTCGCCCACGGCAGTGTGCAGAAAACACCCGTGGACGTGCGCGCCCTCCTCATCTACATGAAGGGTGCCATCATGTGCCACTTCAACTTCCGCCAGATGGACAAGGCGGGCGACACCCAGGGAGCGAAGCGCGGCTACGGCAAGCAACTCGCCGCCGCCGTGGAAATTCTATGGACGCCCTTTTCCGCAGCCAAGGAGGCCTTGATCAAGTCCCAAGGCAAGCACGTGGCCCGGAAACGCGCCGAGGCCGTTGAGGACCTCGCCGACCTCGCGCGCAAGATGATTAGCGCCGTCGACAAAGTCGTCAACGAGAGAGCGCTTGCTCCCGACGACGAGGCGCTCATCAGCCTCAAGGAGAAGCGTAGCAAGCTGAACAGGTTCGCGGTCGAGTTTACCGACCCGAACCAGCGTATAGAGGATGCTACGCCCGCGAAGAAGGACGTGCAACAAATGTTGGACTTGTAAATCATCCTTGTCATGAATTGTACATTACCATGTAAAACACAATGTCTGAGCCATGTATACCTAAGACATGGAACGACCGAAGCTTCGTCACATCGATAGAACAATACCCCAATCCCAATGCACCTTTCTGAGCTTCAACTGTGGTCCGACGCCATTCCTCGAAGACGCCCTGAATTACAGGGAGGAAAAAGATGAGATGAAGAAAAGTGAAGCAAAGGCAAAGTCTCTTTGGTCTATTAGTACATGTGCCCTCCCTGAATGATGGCGAGAGATCTGCGCCCTGTCGAAAAGAACCCTCCCCTACTTGCGAGAGATGCCTCTGATCTGAAATTCTCTCCCCCTTGATGAGGAGAACCAACATACACATGAGTCGCCTAGGTATTTTCGACCGTTTCCCAAGCACGCTCTCGAAATTCTAACGCCCAAGTAGAAAAACAGAAAACCCGAATTTGTAGTGTGAATAGGGTGAATAGGATGTCTTTTTGTGTGTGCCTCCGTCATCATTCGCCGTCTAGCACCGGAGCGTTTCCCCATCGTCATCTTCGCCTCTCACTCATCGTCTGCCGCCACGGTTCAAGTTACGTCCTCTACGGTTGTTGTTGTTGTTGTTGCCGCTGCTGCTGTTATGATTGTTACCGTTCCCGCCGACATTGCGAACGAGGTCATCACTGTACAGGCCGCCATTGTTTTCCTCCATGGTCTCGGGGAATCCGTTCATGCCGTCGACAAAGTTGCTCGAGGTTGAACGAGTGTTGGTGGGGCGGGCAGAGGGTTCCTTGTAGCCGCCGGGCTTGGGGTAGACTTTGATGATGCGTCCGTCGGCCTATAGTCCACTCTCAAATCAGCAAACAAATCCTTAACCCGCCTTGCCGTCGCCTCATGCAGCAGCAGGCTTTGGGGGGTGTGGGTACTCTTACCGTCTGGTTATTAAACGTGGAAATGACCGCATCACCTCCCTCCTTCGTCGCAAACACCATCTCCGCCAGAATCAGAGGCGTCGTCTTGATGATCCGACAGCTCAGCATCTCCCCGCCCACAGGCGTCATCGCGCTCTCGATATCCGCCGCCGTCGTCCCCGGCGCAAAGTTCTGCGCCATCACCGCGAACGGACCCGCCAGCCCTCTGATAGAGAGGCCCTGCCTAATCGCCGGTCCCGTAGGCACCACGTTCGCGACAGAAGTCATCTGGACGTCGGCCATGGCGCCCGAGCGCTCAATTGCGGCAGCCACTCTCGCCGCCTTCTGCTCGGCGCGTCGGTCAGCTCGTCTATTGTTGTTATTGCCGCCGTTTGAAGCCGCGCCGGGCGCGGACCTGCCTCCTCCCGGCGCAGAAATGCGCGACGCGAGGCCGCCTGCACCGGCGCTGTTGCCGTTGTTGTTCCGTCCTCCTCTACCGCCACCATTGTTTACCGTTCCGTGGAGGTCGTGTGTCCAGTCGCCGTCGATGTTGCCAGCAGGAAGGGGCTTGGGGCCAAGGGATGCGGTGCGGGGCTGATTCCAGGTGAAGAGAACATTAGCAGTTGCTTCGCTCGTCGGTTTGTTGAAGGCTAGTCGCGAATGACGAGGTGAAAGGTGCATACCTTCTTCGTGATACCGACTCGGCTCGCCAGTGACGGTCCCGCACCGGGCTTGAGCTTGGAAGGCGCGCTCTGCCTTCTGTCCTTGGAGAAGATCTTCTGTGCCAGCGCCTCGTTCTTCTTCCTCTCTCGTCCTGCGAAGCGAAGCAAAATGTCGCTCCGGTCAGCGATCCATTCTAGATGGGCGGCGCCCGATGACGTGGTAAGAAAGTGGCTCTACCTTGTTGGATGATCTTCTCAAAGTCGGTTGCTACCTTCGCCATGTTGATTGATCTCCTCGGCAAACGCTTCCGGTCGGAGCGAGATGGGATGAGGATGAGTGTGCTGGTCGCAAAGGTCGAAAATGTAGGGGTGCCTGCAAGACACGTCTGGCTGTAAGATCTTGGGTGGAAAAGTGATGGATTGAGAAAGGAGTGAGAAGGGGACTAAGTAGAATAAGGGGTCGCCGATAGGTTCGTGGCTGTAAAGAGGCAACTTGATTCGAGAAAGGCGGGCAAAGACGAGTTGAAGAATGGATGAAGTACCTTGCAAAGACCCTGACGAGCATGGGGCACAAAGTTACCTTAACTTGAGGCTGACCTGGGCGCGTTGGTTAAGAGGGTGGACCATGGCCCATGGGAGCGTGTTCCAGGGGTCTCCATTCGATTGAATGGTCCGGTACGTATCTATTTCTCCAATGGGGCCGTCTGCAGTCGGAGCTCCCAAGGCACTACACCCACCACCGCACTCACGGGTGTGGCTTTCATTTTCTGAGCGTTCAACGCCAACATTGAGCCAGGGCATTATTACTTTGTTTTGCTTTAACCGTTACTTTACAAACAACCACCGTATTTGGGGACCGAAAACTACCTACTAGACCTCACAGTGCCTTTCCCGTTTCCATAAACGAAGAGTCGAGCTGATTAAAGAAAAAAACGAAAACCAAAAACCCAGGAAACCTCAGACTGCGCTTCATGGCTAAGCCTCGTCCATATCACTGTAGTCCTCACAAACGTCCCAGCTAGCCCCGTCGTAATAGACGGATGTCTCTGGCCGGTGTCCAGGGAATGCCAACTTCCGGGCGTGATTGTAGGAATAGTCGAGACAGGGAATATCAAAGTGTGTGGTGAACGCCATGTTTTTTGTCTTCCTTTAGGGCGCCGTGCCACCTAGATCAACTCGCAGGCTACTGGTGTCATTGCTAGTAACGGTTCGGCCTTTGACATCGGAAATAACATGATGACGTTCGGTTGCCGCATTGAGAAGAGGATCCATGACCAAAGCATTTATTGAGGTGATCCGAGGTTTGGGAACGTAATCCGGTGGGTAGACAATGTTGTATCCATTCTTCTTCGTAGACTCGAGTTCTAGAGCTATATCCGGGATCACGGTGAGCCGGCTTGTGTCCATCGTCTCTCTATGTATCTCGCGAGTGATTATCGAATTATCCGTCACTGGAATAGCACTCCTCGACAGCCATTCGCCGTATTTCTGCCTGGTCTCAGCCTTGCCTTCGCTCACATTGCGTGGCCAAGTCAGACATTGTTGATGTTGCCTGTCGTCGGATTGTTTTCGGATGAGTATTGCGTCTGGAACGTTGTCTTTCTCTGATCCAGCTACAGTAGTCTCGCTCCCCCAGTCTTGGCTGCGTAGAGTATCAGCGTCTGTTCCATGCGACGTAGTGCCTATGCCATCTTGCGAGGCAAGGCTAATTAATCTCCACGTCTTTACGGTATGATAGAAAGGTCCATACTTGCCAAAATTCTCAGCGTACGATCTCAATATGTGCTCTCTCGTTGACCGTTCAAACTCAGGGTTCTTCAAAGAAGTATGGGTGGCATTCCCAACGGATACCTCCTTTTTTCTTGAATCAGTCGCCTCTGTGCTGGCAATGCCATCTCGAGAGCCGGACTCTGTAGGAAATCTGCTCAGCGCGGTATTCACCACGGGTATAATTCTGTTGGACATCTCGACTTGGAAAATAGTAGAGGGTGGATTGGGCGCCTCGGTATTTACCACTGGTAAAATTCTATTGGACATCTCAGCTTGGATGACAGCGGAGGGTGGATCAGTCGCCTTGATGGTCGCAACGAGGTTCCCAAACTCCGCCTTGGCTTCGTTGGCCAGCTTAAGAAGTCTTTTCGCCTCGACTGGTTGCGGTTTTCTGGACTCCAAGTGTACATGCTGATCAGTGGAAGATGACGGCTGTGACGTCTGCTTCTTCTTGCCATATTTCTTGTCCAATGCCGATGTGACGAAATCCACATCTGCTGCTGCTGAACCGTCTGCCAGGAGTTTCTTGGGATCCAAGGATCTGGGTCGCTGGACCAAAGCCAATGCTGATAGCGACACGTTGGGAACTCGATCTTCGAGGGCAGCTCCAAGATGAAGGAAGGGGGGTTCACCAACTGCCTTCTGTGTTTCCAGTAGCTGGGGCGTATGCTTTCCTGGGCAAATCGGCGGTTCCGCCGTGGGTGGCTCTCCGGTGATGATCACGCACTCCTTTTCAAAGTTTCCTGATGCCCGCACCTTCGGCAGCTCTGGAGCGACGAGCGAGGCAGACGGGTTTCTTTCGCGGGGTGACGTATCTACGTCACGAACCATCAAGACAGTGAGAGCCTCCTCGGACTTGATGCATCTCTTGAGCGTTTTCCGGCTGCCGGTACCAAATATGTTTCCGAGGCTTCGGCGTTTGAACAAGCCTAAAACGGAATTGAAGTCAGCATTTAACAGACAACAATTACGGAGTGGGAGGTTTCCAATCGAACCTTTCTTCTTCTGGGATAATGTGACATCGTCCTTGATAGTTGCGGAATTGTCGGCCTGATGCTGCTCGCCTTCGTCGGTCTGCGAATCGGACTGACTTGTTGAGGAGGCATGAGCTGCCCTGGCAACCTGTCCTTTCCAGGCATCTTTGTTGCTGAAGGTCGGCATACGGGAAACAGTTTTGTGCCACAAGATGCTCAAGGACGCGCGGTGTCTGCTTCTTGTGCTGCCGTCGAGTTTGAGACTGGGCTCCGAATCGGAGCTTCCTTGCGTTGACGTCAAGTCTTTCCTCGGAGTTACCTCCGAAGGGCGTTTGGCTCGAGGTCTCGAGGAGGGTTTGGATCCGATAGCATCCCTCTGCTTCGTTACCAAGAGAGGATGCGCCATGGCTATCTTATGAGACGTTGACCAAGAAATTTGCGGATGCTTGAGGTAACAGCAGCGAGGACGCTGATGAATGGCCCCGTTTTGGGTAAAAGCTAGATTGTAAAAGCAACAGAGAAATCCAAAGAACCAAAGGTTGTTATCTTTGCAATGGGCGCCAAAGCTGGGTGGGCAATGATGGAGGTGGTCGAAGAGAGAGAGTGCGAACGCAAAGATGTCGAACAATAAGGAGGAGCTTAGCTCAACCCTCTCCGCAACGTCATGGATGGCGATAGTGTACCTAGTTAGTAACTTCCCTATTCAAGGAGGATATGGGAGGACATATTCAAAGGAAGCACCCAACAGCATGACGTGCAGGAACAGACGTGGGGGCTAGGGTGCCAGTGCTTCCCGGAATGCACAAGAACTCGGGCAACATTGTACTGAAGAGACCACATCACCGGCCCCTTCCTAAGGCTACGAGTTGCTAAGAGCCATACAAGTGTCGAGTCAAAACCTGGTATCTTAAAACATTGATTGGGTAGGCACACATGATCAGGTCAGCAACTTCTTTGCCCTTGGACATCATTGTCACTTCCACATTAGTCAAACAACTTGCAAAGCCAACCTGCTGTATCCGGAACCCTTTAAACCTTAGGAACAAAGGTAGGTAGGTAAGTAGTTAGGAACGGTGTGTGAAGAGGACGTGATCTCGTATGTCGTTGCTGGCTGTCGAGCCCTTCCTTCCCTTTCCTCCACCGTCGAGGCCGCCGTCCCTGCCACCCCGTTATCGTCCGCCAATTTCCTCTCATGCATCGTCCCATCAAAGCTCCCATATATGTGTATGTTTCGTCGTCGTCCCTTTCCAGCCTGGCTTTGAACCTCGTCTTCTTCAGATGGTCCCCTGCAACAGGTCTCCCTTGTTGGGGCCACCGGGTATCTTCTTCGTCCAATTGCCACCATGCGTTCAGGGGTTGCACTGCTGTAGTCGACCTGTCGCAAGCGAATGCTGTAGCATCGATCCCCAGGCTGTCTTAACTTCACCTCCCACAGTCTTTTGTAAGGGATAGACTGACAGCCCTAGGCTGCGAAGGAATTTTAATGTGCACTTCAAATGACTTTGATCGGAGGTCGCCCGGCCATCAGTGCCAGGGATTCTGGCTCCCCATGAAGCCTTCTTCGAGCGTTCGCTCCTCGAGGTTGCGAATGAAGTCTCGGTTCCCTCTTCCTCCTCCTTGCTGCGCTCGACTTCCACGTCTACCAGCCCGATTAGCCGCATTATCCATGCCTGCCATCCCGCCGTCGGCACCAGGGGGTAGTAGGCAGGGCTAGGCTGCAAGCGGATCGGCTGGCTCGGGTCAAGGTGACTAGCCACGCGCTGGATGGCGGCTGGGATACCGCTTTGCTGCTGCTCCATGGTTGAGGCACGTTGGCGTGCCGGCCGCATGCCCTGCTGAGGATAAAGGCCAGGCTGCTGGGACGCATTAGCATAAGGTCCTGGAGGCATCTGCGCCGGCTGCTGAGGCATGACCATTTGACCATAGGCGCCTTGCTGCTGGGCTCCATAGGGCGGCGGCTGGGCTGCATGACTGTTGCTGGGAGAGTACATTTGTTGGTTGTTGTACATGGGCGCCTGCTGAGGGTGGGTGGGTTGTTGATATTGAGCAGCCATCTGTGCATAGGCCCCCTGTGCCGCAGAGTTCGCCTGCGCCTGGGCGGCTTGTGCCCTCTGCTTGCTCAATGCTTCGGCTTGCTGCTGCTGCTGGGTGCCTGGTGCTGGAGACCGGTTCAGAGAGCTCGACTTCAAGTTCATGGGCGGGACGAATGGACCGGTGAACTTCTGCTGGGTGATGAACGGGTGAAGCTTGGCCTGTTGCGGTGACCAACGTTCCAGCGGGTTGATATTGAGCAGACCCCGGACGAAATCGATAAAGGCGACTCTGTTGTTCATCTCTGCACGCTGTGTTAGGACTTGTCCCAGATGTGGTGCAGTACCTTGGGAATCTTACCTCTGTCGATCTCGCTCTGCTTCATGTTTTTACGTGGCATAGGGTACGACTTGATGATCTCCGGCAGAGTGTTCGCTTGGAAATACTTTTTGCTGGGCTGCTCCTTGGTCGAGTGCTCCCGAGCGTACTGCTCCATGCTCTTCAGCTGGTATGTCCGTCGTCCGAACTCGTCCTGCCTCTTCTCAAAGAACTCGCCGGCTTGCTTGCCCATCTCGATCATCCAATTTTGAGGGTTACCGAGCATGTCAACAATGCGCGAGACTTGGTTGTACTCGGACGACCCGGGGAACAAGGGGAGGCCGAGGAACAGTTCCACTACGATACAACCGAGCGACCACATATCGATGGCCGACGAATAGGGCAAGCCCAGCAGAACTTCAGGAGACCTGTAAAACCTGGACTGAATGTAAGTGTAGACTGTTTGCCGTTCGTCGCATGCTGAACCGAAATCGATGATCTTGATGATCGGGCTCTCGAGGTTCTTGAGAAGGATGTTCTCGGGCTTCAGATCGCAATGAATCAGCCGTGCCTTGTTCAAGAGGGCCAAGCCATTGAGAAGTTGTTGAGCAAAAACGCGGACGAGAGTCGTGCTTAGACCTCGGAACTGGTTCTGCTTAATCAACTCGTAGAGGTTGACACTGAGGAGCTCGAAGACCAAGCACAAATGTTGCCGGTGAATGAAAGTGTCTTTGAGTCGCAAAAGATGGTGGTCGTCGTTCTTGTCGAGCTTGGTGTTGAGCTAGGGGACTAAAGTCAGGAATTCGTTGTCAATCGTGAGCGGAAGAGCCGCCTTACCAAGTCCAGGACAGAGACCTCCATCATACTCTGGTTGAAGTATGCCGTGCGATTTTTGATGACCTTGACGGCAACAACTTCCTGAGTCTTGAGATTTTGACATTTGACAACTTGGCCAAAGGTTCCCTGGCCCAGAACGTCGAGAATAAGGTACCGGTTCCTGAATCACAAGTTAGCTCGAGTACTCGACTGAAGGCGGCGAAAAGGTGGCGCCGTCGGAATCCTAGACGTACTTGTGGCCGGCTTCCTCTGAGCCCAGAATATCGTTCACATAGAGGATGTAGTCGCTGTCTTCGTTGTCGTATCCATCGTTCTTGACACCCTTGCTCGGCTTCGTGAGTACTCGGCGGGGGTTTCGCGACGACTCGTATTTGAAGTTCGGGTTGCAGATCCTGTACGTAGCAGGAAGATGCACCGTGAGCGCTTGGAGAGGCTGGAAAACGTAAGCAGGCTGCGTTTATCTGGAATGACCCGGCTAGAGGAATGTGCTTACGCTGATGAATCCTCCTTCGGGGTTCGCACGGCGGAATGGAGGTTGGGAGTTGACCTTGGGTCGAAGGTCCGTCGGAGCTCTAATTTGTCTGAATTCGGGCGCAGGACCTCGAACCATGGCTTGAGGAATAGGGCGGCGGGGTGACTTGGGGTCGGTTGCAAAGGCGCCGTCAATGTTGGCAACGACAGCGGACGGGTAGCCGTCATGGGAGGAACCGTACGGTGCGATCGGAGGAAGCTGCGGGGCTTGTTGACGGCCACCGTAGTGAGGGCTATGGGGCATGTAATCGGGCTGCCTCGTCGGAGACTGTCGTTGGCCTGGAGGCGACGAGAACTGACCTTGCGCCGACTTTGGCGCATAGGGCGAGGTGGGGGATAGTGCCTCCATTGGCGAGTACCGTTGGGCAGCAGCCGAGGGCTCCTGAGGAGAGTAGAGGGTGGATGAGCGGCTGCTGGAGAGGTGAGACTGGTGATGGGGCCTCATAGGGTATTTCATGCCGGCGTACGAGTCCTGAACGTCGTGCATGGGGATGTCGCCGTTGTTGTCGCGCATCTGGGGAGTGGACATGGGCGAGGCGGCGGCACTTGCAGCGTGAGAGGATATGCCGCCAGGGCTTTGATACTGGTCGTGCCTGTAGCCGGCAGAAGGCTGGCCTTGCGGACCTGGTTGACCGTTGTACTCCCCACGAGGCATCTGAGCGCCGCTGCCATTGTATCTCCTCGCAGAGCCGGCCTGATCGGCGTAGCCCTGCTGCCACTGGGAGTCCATGGCGGGCGGAAAAGCGATGTTGACTCGAAAGAGGAGATGATGCAGTCGGTCGGAATCGGGATCGGGATGAGTCGCCAAACAGACGGTTGGGTGGTTGTGGTTGAAAGGTTGGAAGGGGGAAAGGGCTGGCCGAGCGCTTTAGCTGATGTCGTCGGTGGTTTCGACTGGACGCGTTAAGCGGGCGAATGGGGCCAGGCTGGACTGGGCGTAGTAAGGTTGAAAGGCAAGTTGCAGGAGCGAGCGCAGACTCGCAGGTAGAGCAAACCAAGGGAGGTGAATGAGGTAAGGTTGGCAGTAAGTGTCGAAGGGTCGGCCGGGTGTGTGGACTGCGTTGCTCGTGTCTGATGCGGTGCCGGTATTGTCGTGGTTGGGTGAGGACGGGGATGTGAAGGGTTCCCTTACGTGAGAGGTCAGGTAAGATATGGCCGGGTGAGTATCCGTCCAGAACGAATAGGTAGTGGAAAGTGGAAGTAGTGTGTGTGGACTGGCTCAGAGTCTGTCTGTCTGTCTGTCTGGCAAATGCAGAGGTGCAGAGCGCAGAGTGCAGAGTGCAGACCAAGGACCAAGGCGCGCAGAGGGAATTGACTGGAGGGATGCAGTCGAGCTCTCTGAGGGTGCCAAGGAGAGGGATTCGGCAGAATTGGGCTGACACGGCCCAAACTCTCTTGGTGGGAATAAAGTTCGGAGGGGAAGTTTTGGGTGGTTTTCCCTAAGAATTCATCATGACAATTCAAAGACGGGCGCGGAAAGGCTGCAATGGAGTATGGTAAGGTACTTCAAAGACGGGCCTTTGACGTTGACAACAAGTATTTAGTGTGTGTTGATTTCCAACGTGTAATCAGGGTGGGAAAAGAGGGCGATTGTATCCGTACGCAACCTGGGAAGCAGGAGGAGGGGGGCGGAGGGGAAGGAGTGTGGACGACGGGGTCGGGAGAGAATGCGCGCGACGACGGGGGGTGGAGGAGGGGAGGGAGGGGGGGGATTTGTGATGGCCTGGTGGAGCTTGGGAGGTACACTATAAGTGGGAGAGAGGATGCGAGTGTTCCGCGGGCCACGATGGTCGCTTGCGACGCAGGCCTGAAATGGTCGGGCAGGGAAACAGAATGCCTACGGAGACGCAGTACATAAGGTAAGGTAATTAGGCAGTAGACTTGACTGAAGTGGCAGAAGGCGCAAGTCGCAACTTGACGCACGGAGGGGGAGACCTTTCGCTTGATGAGGTGGGCTTTGGAGCCTTTGGGGAGGGAGACAAGGTTCCTCAAGAAACTACTTCTCAGATAGGCACGTAAGGCACCTAAAGCAGGCAAAGTACCTCAGACCTGGGGGGGAGCCATGTACAGAACCTTGCCCTCAGGAATCAAAGGGCCCTGAAGTGAGTGCGATATCTGCGCGCAAGGTACTCCGGACAGCACCACGAAAAGAATAAATCATAGGCAGTACGGAGTAATAATACGGATAACAAGTAGAAACCTACCTGGGGAGCTGTGCAAGGCAGGACAACATAGCTTGCGGGTAATCTGAAAAGCAATTACCTTTTCCCAGCACACACAAAACAGAGACACACCACGCACGTACACATACCATGGATCAAGGTACCTGAGAGTAAAGTCAAGCACCCAAGGCCGAGGAGCAAAGGAACGCTTGGAGGCATGGCGAGGTGCTGGCTGTTGTGCACCAATGCCAACAGACGGGAGCAGACCTGTCCCCCGTCTCACATGGCCTCCACCCAAAACTGAAGTATTTACACTATTACCTTGAGGCTTGAGGCAGTAAAGGGTGGCTTGAAGAGACATGTCCGTATGACAATGACGGGAGCGATGTTGGTGACCAAATGGAGCAAGGCAATCTAAGGACTTGATCAAGCCACCTGCACCATGGTAGAAGATTGTCTAAAAGACTCATCCATTCACCCAACAGAGATGATCTGGTACTGAAAAAGATATCAGACAGTTGAAGGGACATTGGGGGCGAGGACGAGTACTTCGTCGACAACAAACATGTCCAATCAGAGGCTGAAGACCCGGCAGGGTACCCAGGCAAAAGTACGTCAGGTTGGCATTGGGTTCGGGTTTCCAGACCTGACAGACCAAGGTTGGCCGGTGCACACTGCGGCGAATGCGCAGCGTGGTACCAATGGAAGTACGAAGTACGGTAGTGGAGAGCAGGGCAGAAAGACAAAGATGCTGTTCAACTCATGGCTCACGACCACCGACCTGCGTCACCACCACCACGACGAACATCAACACCTGTGTTCTGTACAGTGCTGCCCATTCTTCCACTCGCGAGATGGTTGGAGCCCGCGCAAGTGATGCAATGGGATTCCCTGACACCAACAGACCAACGGCCGTGACCGGTGACGGGAGACGAAAACGGTCCTGTGTCGAGCTGACAAGAACATGTGGAGAGAAAGGGGCTGGAGGCTGGAGGCTGGGCTGAAGTATGGATCCGATACAATGCCCCCAAGCTCACTCTCAGTGGCTGCAAGCCCGCAAGTCTGCGACCTGACGACGACAGCAACGACGATGTGGTGGGGCTATGCGTGACGGATTCATGGATTCCACGGATTCCCCAAGGATCCCCCAACAGACACCGATGCTGTGAGCCCTTGAGCATCGCGCTCAAGCTAGGAGGCACCAAAGAAAGGACCATCTAATTGAGATTCCTATCAAGGCTGCCAAGTATCCGCAGAGTTTTTTCCAAGAATGATAACAAACCATCTTAATCATAGTCATAATCAGCTATGATGTATGGCGAGAGGCGAAAAAGTCGCCGAGCATAAAGTGGTGGGCTTGGCTAAACCCAGCCCAGCGTGCCAGACGTTCCGAGTATCCGTTCTCAGCCATAGACAACAGCCTTTTTGCGAGGGCTTGCGAGTTGCAAGTGGGAAAACTGAGACGTCCAGGCCAGCTCTGAGTCCGGACTGAGCAATGCTAGTAATAAAGTCAGAGACCATTTCAATCCGTCCCGCCTGTTCATCAAACAAAAGGGACCCTCTCGGATGGTGAGATGATGGATGGATCGCTGTTGTGTGTTCCAAAAAGCAAAGCAGATGAATGCCTACCACCAATCGACGGCATATTGGCTTGGCTATGTATTGTCTACCAGCCATACCAAGGGAAACATATCTTCTGGTTTCGTTGACTTTCTCGTGTTTTGGTTTTCTTTTGCTCGTGACATGTTTGGAGCCGAGTACAAGGTCGAGGTACGTACATCGTCGGTCTGTCCCATTGCCTCAGTCTTTTCTTCACCACTTCGCTCTTGCAGGTGCCAATGGGCTAACTTCCTTCCCGGACATGTTGCGCAGAACGCACTTGCAGTGTGCAGACTCGCAGAGTACTTGCCTTAAAGTGGAGAATACGGAGAGCCACCATTAAAAGGCAGGCGCTGCGGAACTCCACAAAATGTGAGTCCAATCCCACGCCGAATCCGTGGTTACCTTTTCTGCCCTCGGTTTTCAAGCACCTTCCATGTTGTGAGCTTAGAAGGTGCACCTTTAGCTTCCGCTTCAACTCAATTCATGCCCACAAGCAAGGACCTTTCCTTCATGCTGATAACACCAAGTACTTAGAGCGAAATGGCACTTGTCTATGCGGTAAGATGAAGAGCAAGAAAACATCGCAGTCTCGTCCCAAAAAAAAAAAAAAAAAAAAGGCATCAACAGAATTACCTAGCCGCCAGCGGTGGTGAGACTGGTCCACAACTCCACCAATTGACGCTACTGCGTTAAAACACCTCCCTTCAGGCTACCTAACCGCGTAGCTTCGCTGATGACGGCAGCAGCTTCCGAGGCCAACCCCGGTGCGAGAACACCGGCCTGGAAGAAGGCTCGCGGTTTCCTGGGCTAGGCAGGAGATGAGTAGTCCCATTCAGATTATGGAATGCGCAGGCAATGTTGTTTGGTGACCAGAGTCGCCTGAAGCCCATTGCGTTGCTACTCTCATCATTCACTTTCAATTGTGCTTGGTAGCGAAACTGCTATGGACAGGTGGACGTCAATTGGCTGACGCACGTTGGTAGTACCCCAAGCTCATGTACGAAGTACCTGCCCTGTGCTTTCCTCCTTCCTCGATATAACCTCGGATCCATCATCAGTCCACCCCACTATCACCATCAACGACCTGGACTCCATCCCTCTTCCCCATCCCAGCTCCCGCCTCCCATCTCATTACCGCGACGCCAGTATCGGACTCACGGTACTTCTATGAAACCAGATTCAAATTCAAATTTCGGAAAAAATAGGCCAAGTCAAAGTCACGCCTTGAAACGGGGATTCTCTCACAATGCTCTTCATCGGTCTAACAGGCTCCATCGCAACGGGCAAGTCAACCGTTTCCTCCATTCTCTCCAACCCTCCTTACTCCATTCCCCTCATCGACGCCGATGTTCTCGCCAGGAAAGTCGTCGAGCCCGGATCAAATGGATACGCCGCTATCGTGAAGCATTTCCTCCCCACAACCCCGGACCTCCTCGTCCCGGTCTCAAAGACCATGCCCGAGGCCGGGCCTGACGGCAAAGGACGACCACTCAACAGACCCGCCCTCGGCAAGCGCGTCTTCGGCGACACGGAAGAGCTCAAAAAGGACCGTGCCGTACTCAATGGCATCGTTCACCCGGCCGTTCGCTCTGAGATGTACAAGGCCATCCTCCGCGCCTACGTCACCGGTCACTGGGCTGTTCTCCTCGACGTCCCCCTATTATTCGAAAGCAGCCTCGACCGTCTCTGCGGCACCGTGTTCGTCGTTGCCGTCAAGGACCCCGAGGTACAGATGCAGCGTCTCATGGCCCGTGATCCTCATCTCAGCCGCGAAGACGCCGAGAACCGCGTGCTCAGCCAGACGGATGTGAGACTCAAGGCGCGGAGATGCGAGGCCAGAGGTGAGGGCAAGGGCGTCGTACTATGGAACGACGGCTCCAAGGAATCTCTAAAGAGAGACATTGGCGAGGCTATCCGTCACGTTCAGGCCTCCAGCCCAGTGTGGTGGAGCTGGTTGCTCCTGGCGTGTCCACCAGCGGCAGCAGCCCTCGGGGCCTGGCGATTCTGGCAGAATGTCCGCATCAACAAGGCATGGGCGGAGCAGGAGAGAATTGAGAAGGCAAAGTTGTAGGCCGACTCTCGACAACCACAGTACAAGCACAATCCCGATGACCACATCCCCGGGTTCGCTCGTAATCTTGAATAAAGGCAAGTGTCTCAGGGGTTTTGGCTTCACGAATGAGCTTCATTGCCCCGTTTCGTTGGTGCGGTATCGCATGACCGGGCATCGGGAGGCAATGTATCGCTTGGTCTCTTTCCTACGAGCGTTGTTTCTATCAGAAGTAGGTGTCGGGCGACAGCTTCATGCATTGCTTCAAGAAGTGGTTCAAACGCTTCAAAGTGAGGGCCGGTATAAAGGTAAATAGCACTTGTCGAGCGATGAGATGGCTTCCCTGCAAATGTTCACATTCGACTTCTGTCCTTTTGAGATATATACGTATATTCTCCAGAAACATCTGATACATAATGAACACCTGATGAAGACTCTCGTCGGCGCAAGCATGGTGACTGTTTTTCTAAATCCCCTTATGTCGATGAGACGGTACTCGGTGACGACATGTTCATTTCGTCGTCGTTACCAAACAAAAGGAATTTTACGCCGTTATGTAACGATCAATTGTACCACCACCGCCAAGTGTGCTTGCACATGGCGTCAGCATCCCCCCTCCCCAAATCTCACATGTCCAACGTCCTGCTGAATAAGACGGGGAGAAGATTGGCACCCAGAGGCACCCAATAGCAATGCTTGCAGGCGTTGGCAACGATACGTACTTGCAAGACCCTCCCGTCAGCCGGCCTACAGGATCAAAGATGACGGGTTGGCCACCGAGATACCTCAAGTACCGGTAGCTCTTCAGTCGTCCTCACTAGACGCTGGCTGGCCCTTCAGAGCAAAAAAGAAGCCGCATTCATCATACAGACAATTCCAAAAGAGTTGCAAATACGACCCACTCGTCAAAAGTCTGCTTCATTCAACAGATGCCTCGTCTGTACGGTCTTGCAGTCTTCTCTTCTGTAATTGTTTTTCGCGTTCCGTCATTTAAGGGTTTCCCAGAAAAAAGGACTACCTGCACCTCCCACGCACATGCATAAAGCCCCTCCGCTCAACCAACCACATTTCATCCCCACCTTCTCCTTGGTCATCCAAGCTACACACACCATTCTTCTCTTAGTAGGTTCATCAAAATCTGGTGCCTGGTCGTAGGTAATCAATGGTGAATCCCAAGTATCCGGGAGACCACCACGCGCTTAGAAAAACCTGTGTCCGAAATATCGTAGAGGAAAATAAATAAATAAAAAGTCATAAACTCATCATCCAACAGATTCGTCATGCTGAAGAGGTATCCATGATAGAACAAAGCAGCAAACTTTTTTTTGGCAACGAAACAGCATATCAAAAGTCTGCCCTCTGCCCTCTGACAGGTTGAGAGAGAGAGAGAAATGACTGCACAAGGAAAAGTTCGTGACTTGTGGGAATCACTAGGCCGTAGAAGGAAGATATGAAGAAGACTGAGAAACGTCCCGGAAAATGCACATGATGTCCCCTTCGCATCCCCAGTGCTCACACGAGAGAAACTGACATATGCCCCTCATCGCAGATGATAGGAGAGATTGAGAGAGAGACGCCTTGGCAAGAAATGATTTTTGGAAAACATGGGAGATGCGTTGGTCATGCCATTTTGCCATCAAAAAAAACAACATTGGGAAAGAAAGACTCCACAAAAGCAACCCCTAGGACCTTGCAACGCTGTGGGTGCGACCGCACTCGATGCGCTCTGTTCGAGTAGAATGCAACGCTGCGCACTCCAGCTCACCGGCTGGGGCCACGTCGTGAACTGCAATTAGCCCTGGTACCCGGCGAACCCGTTGTTGAAGTTCTGTCCCTGGGGTCCCTGAGGCCACTGGGCGTTGGGTGGCTGTTGACCACGACCATAGCCTCCCGCACTCTGCGGTCCGCCGTATCCCATGGGCTGCGCTCCATAACCTGCCGGGGACTGAGCGGCCGGGCCACCGTAGTTGCCGTGCTGACCTTGGTATTGACCTATTGGATAAGATGTAAGCTTGGGTCCCGTCCGCATCTTCCATCTATGGCTAAGAACTTACCGCCGTATTGAGGGAAGTAGGCAGTCGGGGTGCCGGGGTAACCTCCGGGTCCGGAAGCGGCGCTTTGCGGGCTGTATGCCTGCTGCGAGGGGTCGAAGCCGGCCGCGGCGCCGCCCTGAGGGTTCGGGGTCTTGTCCTTGCCCCACTTCGCACAGAAAATGTCAGTGCGTATTCTTTGTGAATTGGCTTTGGGTGTAAACTCACGCTGCACTTCAACGGGCGTCCATTAACATTATAACCGTTCATTTGGCAGATTGCCATGGCCGCACTCTCGTGGCTGTCCATCTTGATGAATGCGAATCCTCGGTCCGCCTGGAATCGAGACTCAACCACAAAGCCAAAGTTCTGAAACAGAGGGACCACGTCGTTCGGCGTGGTGTAAGGGGTCAGGTTGCCAACATAGCACGTCGTTTGCCACGACGGTGTCTGAGCAAGGACAACCTCGTAGCTGGCAACGCCATGAGCCGGGAACTGGTGGTGACCGAAAGGCGTCGTAGGCGTCAGGCCCATAGCCTGCATTGCCTGCTGCTGCGCAATAGACGGCTGGCCCTTCTGGTTCGCCCAGTTGCAGCGGATGGCGCGCGAGCCAAGCCACTCTCCATCCATGGAGCTCAGTGCCTTCTCGGCGTCCGGGCGGTCTCTGAAAGCGACGAAACCGTATCCGCGGGATCGGCCAGTCTTCATGTCCCACATAACGCGAGCTTCGGACACGGAGCCAAAAGCAGAGAAAGCCTGGGTCAGAATCTCGTCGTTGACTTCGTTACTAAGGTCGCCAACGAAGATGTGGAAGTGGTTCGAGGTATCCTCCTTGCTCGAGGTGTTGGACTGGTAAGCCCAGTTGACGCGGATTTCCTAATAACCAGTCAATTTAGACTCGCAACGGTAGAGTGAGGTTCTCGTACGGATTGGTGCACACGTCTTCCGTTCAATGTCTGCATAGCGCGCTCGGCCGCACCGGGATCATCGTACTCAACGAATCCATAGTTGTAGCCCTTAGACTGTCGATACACGGTCAGCTATATCGTGGATCACATAGACATAAAGTTTGCAGTGGCCAAGCCGACAGCTGTCAGCTCCACCATCAACAGCATCTTCATGGGAAGTTTTGTACATGGCAGTAATATACGCACATTCTTGTCGGGAATAATCTTGACATTCTGAACGTGACCGGTAGTCTCGAAGATCTGACGCAAGACATCCTCGGTAACGCGTTGATCCAAGCCTCCGACGTACAACGCCCGCTTATTAGGCTCGGGGGCAGCACGGCGGCCGAATCCCCCAGCGCTACCGGGCGACATGACCTTATCGACACCAGACATGGGCGAAGTAATGGCAGTCGGGATCGGGTTGTTGTTCTGCGGGATATGGAGGGGAGGCGGGGGCATGTGCGCCGGGTTCGACTGGCCGTTCTGGCCGTTCTCGTAGCCGGGAGCTCCAGCGTTCGGCTGGGGAGGAGGGGGCAGCTGTGCCGCGTTCGAAGCAGGTCCGTTGTCCGCCATTGCGTCGGTTAGTTATGCTTGAAATCGATTGTGTGACAGGTAACTCTGGAAGCTTGGAATTTCGTCGATTGCCAACAGCAATATGAGAGACGGCAGGGCAAATAGCTAGACCACTATAGCTCTAGACTTGAATTGCAAGATGCGATGTTTGCCCGAGTATGGCTTGGAACGGTAGCGATGTTCGAAGAGCAACCGACTGCCTGAAGCTTGTTGGTTGTGGCGTAAGTAGAACTGCGGGAGGATTTGGTATTGAAAACCTGTCTCGAGACTGACGTGACCCTAGAAGCTCACAGCAAGCAAGCAACGAGGCTAAGAGAGCGGGAAGCGGGAGGCGGGGAGCGCACGCGCGAGAGAGAGAGAATATGTGTGAGTGAGAGAGAGGGAAAAAAGTGGCGGGCACAATTAGGATGTCTTAGCCGAGGGCGGCTAGGACGATGTCGAGTCTTTTTTTTTTCCTGGTGTCTGTTCTTTGCGATCTATCGGTAGAGGCAGTCGAAGTCGAGCATGGAACGATGTGACTTGGCCTTGGAAGAGGAAGACAACGAACCGAACCGAAAGTCGACAGGAAAAATTGTGGACGTGGGGACGGTACTGGAAGGCAAAAAGGACGTCGACCCAACGTGACAAGAGAGACGCTTGAGCGGATAGAGAGACAAGGGGAAGGGCGAATGATAAGAGAGATGCCGAGAGAAGCTCCAAAGTAGTGTACTGTGCAGTGCTGTAGATGAGATGACAGGAGACTCGAAATGATAAGCGGAGGCGAGCACCAAAGAAACAGGCGTGAAAAGAGGACTGGAACCCCCTGAAAGGAATCACAACAAAACCCGGTCCGAGAGGAGAGAGAGAGGAGAGAGAAACGTTTCCTGAAGACGTGGAGAGGAGATTCTGCGATGGGGAGAGGAGAGGGGAGCAGATGGAAGGAGGGAGAAGAAGGAGGGCGGATGAGGGGGACATTTGATCATGGCGAGACCAGAAATGAAATTCGCACAGCCCGCGGGACCCTGGCCATCTGCACATAGTGCCAGGTAAGTGGTGAGGTGGTAAGGCAGGGAGGGGAGGTGCAGGTTGTGCCTGTCGTCCAGTGAGGTGTGGCCTCGTCCAGTCCAGCCCAGCCCAGCAAAGGCAGACAGAGGCAGACAGAGGCTGGTGCAGGACAGGTTCAGTTGGAGCTTTGCCCGCAATTGCCTTTTGTGTGCTGGTAGTTTCGTACCTAGCTTGCCAAATTTGTACCGGGTGTCAAGGTAGGTAGGCAATCCACATCCAAGGCATCCCCACTTGCTGTTTTTTTTCTTTTTTCTATTTTACATTGCCAATGTACAAGTTGGATGCGAATTGCTGTGCGTTACTGCAAAGCTTCTACAGAAATGTACATGCGTCTCTCCCTGTTGCCTCACCAGGCTCACCTCGCCAGCAAAGCAACAAGGGCAGCCCATTCGGCGCCCACCGCTGGTCCCAGACCTTGGGATTGGTCTGTTGAAGGTCTCCGTTGAACCCTGTGCCAGGCTCTTGCTTGTCCAGCCGTGCCTTTCCACTGGGTACAGCTGCGCACTATCCCCAGTCGGCCAAGGGTGGTGCTACTAAGATACGGGTGGCTGTAGCTGGTCCCCGGCGCGAGAGGGGCGGTTTACCTTTTCACGCTACGGATGTTCTATCCTTTTTCTCTTCTTTTAATTCGAGTCCGTCCACAATTTCGGCTCCCCTCAGCTGCGTGCTGTCATCTGGTGTCGAGTACCTACGAGTCTCAGCTAGCTGCACCCGGATCACTTGGTATCTGTTCACTCAACCTTCTTTACCTTAAAAACCAACAGGTGAGCTATCCGCTTGGTCAGGGCTTCTGGCGTGAGGGGAATTGGGAGATGGGATGGCAGCAAGAAACAAAAAAGGGGTGTTGCTGCAACAAGTAGATGCTTAAGCGACTTGCGCTAAACTTGCTTAGGCAAGGAGCGAAGCCTGGGACGGCCGCTGACAACGTGGAAGTTTGAGCATTGCACCATCACAGACGTTGGATGGCCAATTCGACTTTCTGCGCCATACGGGAGACACGGGAGACGAGGCAGGCCCTGTTAGAGCTACCCAAGGTAGACAGGATAGGCGACTGGTTTTGACATTTAGTGAAGCAATGGGAATATCCATTGAACCTGAAAGTCGGTCGTAAAGAAATGCACATATAGGCTGCATTGATCACACTCTTGATTGGGGCATGGATCAACATAGTTACAAATGCATCGCTGTGAAATGAAAAATGCGGCTGCAAACAGGCCATATAAGATGAGCTCTCATCAAGGTTGAACAGCCAGTGCAAACAAACAGAACTCGATTCAATGGGAACCCTGGCCTCGGAGTTGGATAATGGCAGCAAACGCGTCGCTATAGGAAGGGTTCTAAGCCTTTGAGTCTCAGTGCAGGAATCATGACTGATCACCGTGCCATATGATGTGCCCGAAGGACAGGATATCCCAGCTATGCCTCGGCTCACTCCCTGCTTAAGCGTCTTTCAGGCTCACCTGCCGTGTGCATTAGAAGTAAATTGCTAGTCATGATGGCACTTTCTTTCAATTGACTAATACTGAGCCTCCCAGGATTTATCTCATGCCTCACGCCAAGTCGCGATCGGGGGCGGCACTAACGGCCTCAACCATGAGATATAAGCATTTAGCGTGAGTAGACCACGACACCAATGCTCAACCTGTTGCAACTGAACAATCAAGAACAGACGGCCGGGGACTCAACTCGGTATATGAGCCAGAATAAGAATCCGTCCCGCTTTCAAAGAACGGCTGATCGACAACCAACTCCATGTCATTGGGCTCATCATTACTGATTACTTGGTGGCTCGGGGTGTCTCACAGCTAGACATTCTCTGACCTACATTATGTAAAGTCACAGCAAGCTCCAGCATGCATAATGACCCCCAAGACGCTAGAGTTCCGAGCATCAATAACCGGGCATGTGGGTTACGAATCTTGTTGTTGCAGGACGCAACCAATTTCCCGGGAGGAAGGCTCCCGGCACGATGGGACGAACGATGTCCTGGGTTAGCTCACCGGCGGCAGCAATAGGGTTATCCATACCTCCCGACGGTGGGCTTGGCCCTTGTCTTCCGTATCCGCAACAACGTCCTCCGAGAGATCGAGGAACGTCTACCACATGTGGACTGGTTGCTGTTGAACGTGAAAGGGCATCCAAGTCGCCGTCTGGAGACCCAATGTCGGCGAAATGAGTGTTGACATGGAAAGGTACGCAGACACAGACAGACCAGACTCTTGACGATGAGAGCCTCTCGCAGGAGTTCACGGTCCCCAATGAGCCTTCCATCCGACGCAAGCGGGTTTCAAGTCAGCTGAAGAACATCCTTTCAGTAGTCGAACTCATCCCAAGATTCCACGTTGGTCGTGATCTGATGCATGGAAGAAAAGGTGGAACCAAAGCCAGAGAGACAGAGGGGAAATACAGAAAGAGGGGAAAGTGCCCTACCGCTTCGAGCTGGCGCCTTCTTGGTCCTCTTGCGTCCACCCCGTGCCGTATGACAGGTGCGGGGTTATTTCCGGGGCTCACAGTGCATTCAATGTTCCTTCCTCGTTGGCGCTAGGAGCTGTGATTGATGTGGACGTGGCGCAACTGCATGGCCACAGCAGCCCGCATCCGCGCTTTGGCTGTCCATTGGTTGAGCCTCACAATGTGTCTGATTGGTCAAAAATTCGCGCTCGGGCTTCAGTCTCGCATTCGACCTCAATCGACGACAGAGAACTCGCCTCAGCGTATGAAGTAAGGTACGTACTGCTCCTCGGGAAAGAAGGCTGGGGACCTGGCTCGTCCAGACGTCCAGACGTCAACCATTGGCGTTTTGATGCTTGTCAAAGAATTGACTGCAACTTGAGCAACCATCAAACGATTCATTTTCACCAAACCAACCTCGATCATCCCACCAACTCGATTAAAGAAGGGGTCATCAACGGACACATTTTCACTCACTCTTGCCGCTGCCAAAGATTTCATTCACATAATCTACGGATACACCTGGCCTCTCTCAGTCTCGTCAACCTCGTAATACCAAAAGTAATACATCCCCTTAAAACGGCCGACTGGCATCTATCATTATATCGCGCCAGTTTAATTTGGCGTACCGACTTTTCCGTTTAAAGCACGCGTAACTCGTCGAAAATTTGGTCATTAAACATACAGCCAGTGGCGTCACATAGCCGCAATGGCAAACTCCAAGGCGGCGACTTCTGACTCTGCAGAAGCCCTGCATGGACTTATTAACGATGTGGTTTGTACATCTGCTTTGATCACATACATTTGAATGCAATGGCTGATTATATCCGCAGCTGATTCAAACAGGCAAGGCACTGAAGTCTCTTAGCAAAGATGGCAGGCATCAATCCCAGGCCCAAGCCTCTCTGCAAACAAAGATGCCAGAGATCATCGAAAACTTCCACTGGAAACTGGATGATTTAGAGAGCGAGATAGTAAGTTACCCAAGTAAGGTCCCTTTCGCACGCCCAGTCATAACACCGACGGCAGATACGGGCCAAGGCTGCCCTGCAAAGAGATCTGGATCGGTTCCAGCAAGCAAGACAACCGGTGCAACAGCCTGCACCAGTCGAGGCGCAAACCAAATCACCCATGGCCATCGATCTCGACTCATCATCTCGGGAGCAATCGCCCCCTGAAAATGAGCCCAATATCACGGAGGCTACGGGCCCGCACCGGGTCCCCGCAGAACCGAGCACAGCACCATCCATGGCTCCGTTCCCGGACATGGGCGTCAGCTTCCAGCCAGCGCCAGAATCCAGTCCCCAAGTGAAGCAGGAGATGACGCCCGCGCCACCCGCTGCACCACCGGCTATGATGGCTCCCATGGGCGAGATCAAGCAGGAGATGAAGGCCTCGCCGCCAAATTCACAACCTCAGCCGTCAGGTGCCCCAGAGGCGCCCATGGACGACTTGTTCGACCTCGATGGCGACTCTGGAGGCGGTACTGAGGGCAACAACCCAGAGTTCCATTTCACAGATATGACCTTCAGTTTGGCGCCACCCAGCAACGAGGCACCAGACCAAGCCCAAGCACAGGATGCGGCCATGGACATGTCATTCGGTTCCAGTGATATGGGCGGTGACCTCTTGTCACTCGATAATCTCCTTCCCCCAGATAATGCCACAAAACAAGAGAGTGGCACAGCTCCCCCGTCTTCGGCAGCAGCAGTAACAGCATCTACAGCCGGGCAAGAGAAGCCGGTGGAAGCCAAGATGGAGAAGCAGGAATCCACGAACATCGACGATTTATTTAACCTCGACGGTACCACAAGCATGGAGAATATGGATCTCGACATGAACATGGGCGGGGACGGGGGCGACGGCAACAGCTTTGATGATATGTTCTTCGGGGACATGACGGAGATGGAGCACGGCAAGTTTGACGATGCCTTCTTTGGGATTCAGTAAACACGGGAAAACTTCGAATTGTCTGTGCTGGGCAGACCTGGTCTAGATTCGTGCCCTTTGCTATTTGGGAGGTGTCATGGAGTTACATGGTCATCAGTTTTGACACTAGAACATAGGGAAAAGGGGTGCCTACCTTAGAAAATTGATTTGACCACATCCACGCACCGCGAGTATCGCAGAGCCCCAGAAAGACGCTCCCAGCAAGCTATCGCCCAGAGATTTCCTGAATAAAAAAGGTCATCGCGAAATCCCGAGTCAGCATTCTGTAAGGAGGGTTGAAGGACGAAGCTACAGTTCTGACATCCGAGGGTGTTTCTCACATACACGCGACCATCGTCTAGACTTAAAATTGCTTGATCTCTTGACGAATGACGGGGATCTCTCTACTTAACTAGCCTCAAAGGGATCTTGATCACGGTGATATGCGCATCTTAGATAGCTCAGTTCAAGTGTTCATACCTCGGCGTGTGACTGCAAACACCATCACTTCAGTGGGAGTCGTCACTTTCTATTGAGACAACACACAACGATAATTCAAAAGTCTCGAGGTTTTCAAGGCGTCGAAGTTGGTCCTGGCGACGACTATTCGGTAGCCCAGAATACTCGTACTCCGTTCAAATCATCTCCGCCCGGCTCCTGGGGTGAGCCAAGTTGTCTCGAATCGGCAGGTCTAGTTTAAGCCATCTGAGAGCGGTGCAGTGGGAAAGTATGGTCACTGTTGCCTGTATATCTGCGCCATTCCTCCATATAAAGCTTAGCCGAATGCGGATCATCTTGATCATTCGACGCCCTGCTGGCATCACGGAGCCTATAAAAATCGCCGTTTATTGGAAGGAATTAAATTTGAAGGTATTTCCCTGTATGTTCTCTAGTCGTTGATATTATTCGGCATTCAATCATAGTGCAAGGAACACTCACGCTGTAGAATTCTGCTTTAGCCAGAAGTATCTGGTTGAACATTTTGCAAGTCAACAGTAAGCTGGTGAAGGCGTGTACGGTGGTGGATGGCGCTGGTGTTCTACTCCATCTGTCTCGGTGACGATCGGGCTAGCAGCGTCCTTGAACTTCCTCGATCCCTCCGTAGCTTCCGTAGGTTCAATGGGTTGTATCTGTAAGATAGCGAAGTTGTATACTTTGATACGAATCTACAATATTGCATTAGCTGGTGATTTTTGTCACCATGATTCAGGATTTGCCTCGCGCGGCAAACCACCGAATGGCTTCGGCTCCGTCTTATTTACAGCCGGCTGAGACGCACCAGCCGTCGTGCTCGTCTGGTTGGCGATGACCTGCGTCATGTTATCTACCCCTTTGGACATGGACGCAACTGCTTTGGCGTTGGCCTGATTCTGTCCTAGATCCATTGTCGATGCGCTCTTCGTCGAACATATATTTGAAGCGTTATTCCGAGGTGATAGTGTTACGTCGTGAAGGATGATGGGAAGTCGGTTGCTTGGAAAATGGTAAATTCGGTCGTATTGTAGCAGAGGAGGATGGATGCGAGAAGGTTGTAGGTTGAGATGGCGTGATCGACGACTAGACAGCTTTAGGAGCCACGAACGTACCTAGGTTTGTCAAGTACGAATGAGGGTGCAGGGTGCAGGGCACCTCGTCCCTTCTCTGGCTTGGAAAGGTCATTGCTCGTCACGACTGAGGTCCCCTCTGGGTAGAGTAGTCGACCTTGTGGTGGCTGTTACTATCTTGTTCTCTACGCGAATTCGAGAAACGACGCATAGAGCAGGAGGCAAAACTGCGCCTTGATTACGTTGGCGGTGTCTGACGAAGCATGAGATTCACCAACGCAGCTGTGGTCTAAGGTGACCGGTAACGGGGCAGCACTATAGCATCATCTCGAATTTGAGCGCAATGTCGGATACCTGTATTCAATCCAGCGAATTTGCATTCGAATTTGCATGCTTCAACTTCTGTTTGACATGATTCTCTAGTATACCTACGTAGGCCAATTTGGTATCTGTATTGTGTCGTGATGTAATGCCGTGAAGGATTCCTAGTACACGCCTAATGCTGCCATGCAAATGCGAGAATTTATGACAACTGCCACCCCGACGTCCCTCCATGCCAGCGGAGAGGGACTCTTGTAGTCGATCAACCAGCCCTCGCAGGGCAAAATCTCGGCCCCCTAACCGCCGGCTTCATATATTGTCTCTTGGGTGAGACCTTCGGTGCCCGTAACTGAGCTAGTCCCCAGCATCAGAAGATTCTGCAGTCTGAGAGGGACCTGAGCGGCCGTCAATAAGGGCCCTCCTGAGAGTTTCTGCACCTTAGCCCGTCTGTTTAATTGTCTAATAACAAGCAAACGGGGGCAACGATAACATCCGCACTGAATTTCTACAAAAGAATTCGCACAGAACAACGTCTGAACAAACGCGGAAAGACTTCAAACAAAAGGGCGCAAAAGAAGGGAAACATTGGACAGGGATTACTCACCACCTGCTCGACTCCCATTCCAAGATCCAGCCACAGCAGATCTTGAGTCTCTCTCTGACACTTCGTGTTTCCAGAAGCTTGTATTTCTCGTATTCCTTGGCTGGCAAGATGCTGGCAAACCACCAAGGAAATAGTGCTGGATCGTTAGGGCATTCCCCGTATATAGCCAGCATTCGTTGTGCCAACCACGGCACGCTCTGTTGCCGCATTCGCTGCACAAAGGAAACGCCCAAGGACAGAAGTTCGCTGGTCGGCATTGTTGAGAGATCCTCCGGTGTGGTCGTAATTGGTCTCGGCAAAGTCGAGTCTTCGCTCTGATGTGTAGCTGCACTTTCGTATCTTTCTAGGGCTTGTTGTGTCTCGGTTGCCTCTAGATCTTCTTCCTCCGCGATCGATATGTCGTCAAGTCGTTCAATCTTTCCAACCAAGTATCCATCCAGAATGCCGTGTCTGGTAATTCTAAAACGCGATATGCCAGATGTCTCGATCAGGCTCCTGCCGTCTGAAAAGTATTCGGCATTCACTATCCGCAGCAGAGTTCCGTATTGCACAAAATGTGTGTCATTGGCAGTTCGAGGTCGTTGTGGAAGCACCATGCCGAAGGTCCGGTCGCCTTCCAAAGCTCTTCGTATCATTAGGCGATAACGCGGCTCAAAAACATGGAGAAAAGTAGGCATCATGGGAAATGACAATGTACAAACGAAAATGGGAATGTCAAACTCCCGATGTCTGTTCATTGCTTCCGCTGCTAAAGCATCTCCTCTTGTGAGGACGGCATCAGCCCAAAAAGTCTGAATTATGGTTTTCAGGCTCTCATTTGACGGGCATGATTCCCGGTACAGAAGAGGACTGACTGATAACCCTCGTCGACAGATCGGACAGTAGGAGGAATGATCCAATACGCGGTGGAGGCATGATCGACAGAAAGTATGCCCGCAAACTGTCGTGAGGGGGTCGTAGAACAAGGCGTAGCAGACCTGGCAGTCCATTTCCGTACGTACGGATTCCTTTACTCTGGAGAATGTCCTCGTATCGATGGACGTAGCCTCATCTCCCAGTGATGAGACTTCGGCGAAAGTGACAGTCGAGTTATAATACAGCTCGCCTGTGTCTGCCAACGTGTAGACAGCGAGCAGTGGGCCTCCTTTAACAACCCTCGACACTTCCTCGTTGTCGTCGCTCGTATCTGACTGCCCAGCATCCGGGTTTTTGATGATGACGTGCGTGGATATCTCGGCTTTGGTGCTCGTCTCTTTCGCCTTCTCCATTTCGAACTTGAAGTTGTTGACTGCCTTGGTGAGAATGACATCGACGCCACAATCGCCCACGGCATGATTCCTCCCACATTCCCCGTAAGGGCATTCGAAGCCTTGTAGTCTGTTTGGCGTAGCGGGATATGATATATTTTCTCGGGTGTGTGTTTCTGGCACACATCGTTTACAGAGGCTTCGGCCGCAAGGAAGTGTAATTGGCTCTTGGAGAGGGTAGGAGCATTTTCGGCATTGTATCAGCCGGATGACTTCTCGAACTTGGTCACCCTCCAGTGGGCGGTCAACAGTGCCATGGTCCTTTTCGTCCTCGGCTTCGTGTACCGGGTTGGACGTCAGGGCCGATGGCCTGCTCTCGACTACCCGGGGTTGGTCGGAGGACATGAAGCCGTCTGCACCAGCTCGGTGCTGGCACAGCTTAGATATAAGTTTGTGTGAGTTCGTGACCGGTTCGTTTCGTGAACCACTTTTGCTTCCCAAGCACAATCCTGCCTTCGTGATATATAGTAGGCGTGTCGCCGGTGTTTCGAGATAGTTAGACAACGTTCCGCCGAGATCGAGAGGTAGAGGATGGCTGTGTATTTCGTGTAGCCACCTGAACGTATGTAAGATCCAGCAAAAAAGAGACGGGGGGACAGTGACCAGGGGTCATATATGCGGGATCACCAGGGCTGCAGAGGTTCCAGAAACGAGCGGATCTCATGATGCGCCTGAACGAGATCAAAAGCGGACAGGTGAAGAGAGAGCGACAAAGCTAGTAGACCGAGGGCCGGAGCTAGAAGCTGGAGAACTGGCGGGATGCATGTACCAGGCCAGTGTCTGTCGCATAGAAAGGGTACGTTTGGGGGCGCGAAGGTAACGATGGTGGATAACGACTGGCAGGCGTCATACATTTAACGTCGAGTTACCAATTCGCTGGGCGGCTGGACGGTTTAGGAGGGGTGCGTTCGGGGGATGGTGTGGCCGTGCAATGAGGTCAATGAAATTGGAGAGAAAGGCAGACGGTGGACAGCGATTGGGGAGCCATGAGCAACAAACAGGAAGAACAATGAGAGGAAGCAGCAAGAGAGCCGCCCCCGGACAGCGCCAGGCCCGGCGGTCCATGTCGAGAGATTCCAAGGTCATGTCAAGTACCGGTACAAGTTGCGAAATTCGCGGCAGGCGACGACGCATGGGCGGGCTCTTGTGGCTCCTTTTCCCAGATGCCCTGGACGGGGCCCCTTGCGCCTAGACAGAAAAGGGTTTAGCGGGCTGTTGTCAGTAGCCAAATTCCTAGGCTAGTTGTGACGACACTTGGACACCACGGGGTCCAATAGAGAAGGACGAGGGAACCTGAAGCGTGAGTGTGAGAACGGGGGACCGATTTGAGACAACATGACTTGGTTGAGCCATACCTTACCAGCTTCAGTTATTGTCTTCGTGCCTACCTAGCCCGTTCCTTTCTGGATTTTCCCTTCCTCAACGGCTGCGCGGCGGGTTGATCGACGACTGCTTACCTTACCTTGGGGCTACGAGCTGCCTTAGGTTTTTACCGGCACTACTCCGTAACTGTTCTTCTGATCTGCAATTCCCAGTAGCTGGAAACTTTGTGATATTTGTGGAGCAGTGTTTACGCACATCTAAACTCGGTAGATGTCCTAGATCTTCAGCTCATCTCATGTGCTTAAAGACGCTTTACCACTTATTGCCTCTTGCCTCGATTTGATGGGGGTCTCTTTTTTCTGTGTTGTCTCGAGAGGAAGCCTTCGAACTTGGACGGCCTCCCTTGTATTCTGTGAGTTTTGCCTGCCTGTTAACGAATGTCGTTTTGGGTACTTGCAAGTTACAGAGATATTGACCAGTGGTATGACGCAATTCAGCATCTCGGTGCCCCTCTTTTTGGGTTTCTGACTGCTGGCTTCCTGGAAGGTGCACACGCTGTCAGGATTGCTTACCTCAGCAGGACGTGAGACAAAGCATGCCACGTGATGTTCGGAGGATGGCCCGCCTCCAAGAGCCTCTGCATATTGAGGTAAGGTGCGTACCTAGGTAGGTATGCTCTTGTCTGTTCTGGCCCGAATCCCGGCCGGGACATGTTGCTGGGCAGGCGATCCATCTACTTTACGGCAAGACACAAGCAATCTCTCGCATATCGTGGGAAAGATCCAGTAACTGCAAATCTGCAAGGGGCCCTCCATCTCCCAAACCGTCAAACCAACAATTTCCGAAAGGCCAAAATCCGCAATACCACGTACTCCGTACCTAGGTATTCGTGGCGGCCACAGACAGATCTCGATGCGAACGAGACCCAGGACCCTGACATCAGCAAGCATGGCCATTCACCACGCTTCATCCATGCCGACAAGTACCGTTACTTTGCGAGTACCGCCGGACGCCTCTGTCTCTCATCAGGGAAACTGGAGGCAACAATGTGCCCGTGGCCCGTATTCCCACACAAAACTGCGTTTTTTCCTCCCACCTCGATGCTTGAGTCGGACGAAGATGAGCCTTCTGGAAAGTGATCGCAACTGCTTTTAACGATCCCTCTCGATTCTATTGTGGCCGGCAATCGGCGCTAGCGCCTGCACGTACCCAAGACAGCGCAAACATGCCCGGACAAGCCAGGGTCCAGCGTTTTTTTTTTCCAGCGCCTTGTTCGCGACCGCACCCACTCAGATGCAGCTCAGCTTCTCAGATCCAGTGCGTCATGACACTTTGCTACTTTTCGCCCCTGCCTCTCTCTCACCTCACGCCCGCTGCATTCTGTACCTTCCGCTCAACATCGATGCTCTAGACTTGTTCCCTAAATTCTTCTCGGCAATCTAGGCAATCACTCGTCCTAGTAGGCTTGAGAAGCGCAGGCCTGACTTATCCTTCGGGCGACCGTGTCTCGGATCTCTCTGCCTCCCAGTCTCATGGGCATCTGCAACATGACATTTTGCCCAACTCGGTTTCAGCTCAGTCAAGTCCCCATTGGCTCAGGACCCAGTCCTAGACTCCCATAACTCCTAGTCCTAGTCCTGGTCCTGGTTACTAGTCGTCAGCCTCGGGTCTTGACTTTTGACTGATTGCAGTTCTTACACTACCTAACCTACAACAGAGTAGACCACGGGGCTGCTCATCACCCACGAAGCCTAGGTAACACTGACCTCCCCGAGCAACTAGCCTCTTTGGTCGAAGGTCGAGGACAGCAGGATCTCGATTCAGCCTTGCTCGAGCAATGTAGTGGCGTAAAGTCGTGAGGCTACTCGCATACCGCTCACTTCCAGCGCACTAGCCAGCAGCTGTTGAGCATCTTTTATGGTTGCCACTCGTTCAGTCGGTCACCCGATCTTGCGCCTGTCCCTGGCCACAGACGCCTTGCATGGCCGTTGCCGCCGTCAGTCATCTTGACCTCACAAATGGTCAGACTTGCCGGGACCGCGGAACCTGGCTTGCCGATACTAAGTGGTTGCTAGACGGGCTACTACCTTGCGAGGTAACGAGAGTCGTTTGATGGCTCGAATCCAACTCTAGAGTAGCGCATTTCGCACCGAACCTTTGCCCGGAACAGAAGTGCGAGGCGAAAATCTACCCAACATCAAAGCCTCTTACTGTTCCGCAGTCTCAGCTTCTCATTGGGAGTTGTCGACTAAATCCTCAGCCACAGGTCAGAGAGTATGATAACTAATCACTGCGGGCGTAAGTTGTTGTAAGACTGTGGTTACACGACAACTTGCAACTCCATGGTCGGAAAACCTGCATAGCTCGGCTAGAAGAGAACAATGTCACGGTACGACGCGCGAGAGAAAAGAAGAAGAAACAAGGCATGCATGATTAGGCGCCGGGGGTTCTCTACGAAATTGGGAACCAGTCGGCTTTGTGGCTAACATCATGCTGCATATATTGTATCATTTAGTCTCTGTGCAACCTCACCTCTGTACCTAGTAGGCACGCGGTGTTAAGCTATGATGGCCGGGTTTTAGGCTTTCTCTACACCAAAAAAGCGGCCATCATTTATTGCCACCGCGTGGTAGGGTATTCGTACACGAAATCGCCATATGAACTCTGCAACTGAGCTTCCAGTTTCAGAGCAGATCTTCGGTTCTGGACCAGCAATTTGACCCCATCTTTTGCCTATTAACCCCTCGAACCCCTCCATTCTGCCCATCTTAAAGGGTAGCATCGATGCCGCCATTTGAACCCCACTCGCCTCTTTTCCCCTCAGCAGCGTGAAAAAACGCAACCTAATTCGAGAGTTGAAGCTGTGGCTCTTGCCTTTCCGTTGCCCAGCCGAGTCTGTGCGATTGGGACAACATGCCACAATAACGCGGCAACGCGTTCCAAACCCTTGCTTACCCTCACCGACAACTCACAGAAAGAGGAAACTTTCCATGTGACAGTTTGTTGACATTGAGGAAGCTTTCGGAAACTTTTCCCTTTACTTTGCTCACATTTTCTCCTCTTCTTCTTACTCTACCAATTGAACGACACTTTGCGGACTTCAGTCCTTTTGCTATAGCTTTGCTCCAAAAGCCAAGCCATCAAACTTCCTATTCAACAGCTTTACTCATCATACACCGCAGCTCTTCTCCTCCTGCATCACTTTCCCCAACATCGTCGGTATTTTTGAACCTTTTGAACGAAAACCCTTGAACAAATAGCCCATCATGTCTTCCCTCGGCCTCCCCTCCCCCGAACACCGCGCCAAAATCATTGAAAAGCTCTCGGAGCTCATCGACGCCATCGAGGCCCACCCGGCCTGGAGTCCGCCGAACCCCCACAAGGGTCTCTTCCACGTCTGGGACTATGTCAACCGCTCCCGGTACATCATGACGGAGCTCGACCACATCCGCGACGGCGAGCCCGTGCGGTATCCGGAGCAGATCCCTCAGCAAGATATTGGTTAGGAACCTTCTTTTTTGTTTGTCAAAAACCATGACCGCGTATCCTACTCTCAAGCCTAGTTGCTTTCCTCTCAATTTGATATTTTGCAATGAGATACCAAGGAAAAAGATAGATCGTCGGACCCCGTTACCGAGTTCCCCCCCTCTCCCGAGCCACGCAAGTGCGCGCGCGGGCCAAGCCGGCGGCACGGAGTGAGGTGGAGGGGTGAGGAATCAAAGGAGGAGGGAAGGGGGACAAAAAAAAAAAGAGGAGCCCACAATCGCTGACATGGACGATCCCAGGCGTACCAGGTCGCAGCGGCCCCGACGCCGCCGCCGAGTCCTTTGTCGACGTCTGCGGCCGATCGGCGACGGTCAACGAAATGATTGCCAACCCGAAGCTGCTCACCATGATTGGTCTCCCGCAGGTGGATTACGGCAACGATATCGTTTCGAGATCGCAGGCGGTTGTCGATGTCTTGAAGCAGCAGGCTCTCTGAAAGACAAAGAGGAAAAATGGAGTGTGGGATAGAAATGGATTACAAGCAGAAGAGGAAGAAGGGGATTACATCGTCGACGTCAGCACGCACACCGGAGAGGCAACAAAAGCGATTTGAATTGATTTGGTATTTGGCCGAAGATGCCGTCAAGGAGCTTGAATAGTGGGGAAAATTGAATCTACTATGGATAGAGAGGGATACCCTAAAATAACCGTGAGAGGAAGACTGCAATTGTGAGCAATACTGCAAGTAGACTTGATTGGTACGGAATTGGCTTCACGCATGTTGAA